CAGGGCCCCGGTTCGGATCCCACATGGGGGCCAGTGACACTGCCCTCTACAGCTAAGATGGTGAACAACAGCTCAACCTGGAGCTGGGCTGCCATAAGTCCCCTGCTGCAGTGGGCTGCCATAAGCAACTGTGTGTGGCCGGCAGCCAGCATGATCTGCCAAGAGCTGCTGTGAGCAGCCGTCCAAAGGCCAGCAACCGATCTGCCTCACCTGGGAAGAGCGCAATAATAATACCAACATGGGCCAGTGAAGCGACGTCCTCTACAACCAGACTGAAGAACAAAAGGACAGCAACTTGTCTGTTCCCCTTCCCGATTCCCCAGCGCTGTTCCCCTCCAACTCCCCAATAAAATCTTAAAAAAAAATAATTAAGTCAACAGGTACACAAATTGACATTCATAAATACTATTAATACATGCTGATTTGTAATGGAGTTTGTTTTATACATTAGTCTTTTTTCATGAACTAAATTGTAGCCTCCTTGTAGAAAAGCAGCCATTACTTTCCTATTCGTTGCACCTCCTCCACCACTGCAGCCCCCCCCCATCGAAGCACAACCACTTAAATAATAAAGGCTCTGCCATAACTACTAAAAATGGTTGATTTATGATTTTTAAAAAGACAAGGTAAGAAAATTCAACTGCACTGATTATAAAAACACAAACCACATGACGTTTACATTTCAAGTGTGTAAAGGTTCTTTCATTGAAAACTGAAGGATGAGAGTTAAATCGAATTACAAAAGAGAGCTTGGGGTTTGAGAGAAAAACAATGAATAATAACGGAACGAAAAAGGCTGACTGCTGGAATGAAAACATTTTTAAGACGTGGAAGAAGAGAGGCAGCTGCAAATCACTGTTTTGTGAGAGGTCAGGTTGATCTCCAGGATTTTCTTCTCCTAGCTCAACCAATCCCCATCTATTCTGAGTTAACCAGTCTCCAGGCAAGAAGCGCTTCTTCATTGGCTTAAAGATGTCGAGTAGAAAAACCAACCAATCCTGCCTTTCAATCACAACTGTGCTATGGAGACATTACAACCACTGCACGTCGAGAATGTGTAAAAACCTGTCAGTGCCATAAATATCAGATCCTAGTTCTAAAGACTGTTGCCAGAGAGGAAGATTCTTTAAAGACAACACTTGAACGTGATCTGGCATCTACACTTTGTTTTATTACTCTAGCTCTTTATGTGTGTGTGGGGGGGGGGCTGTTTTAACCAAAAGAGCATAAAGAATACACTGCCCCTGGTCACATGACTCACTATGGAAAACAGATTTCCAAACGGATATCTCAGAGAGGATCTAGACGACAGTAGGGTTCAAGGAGGGTCCCAGTGAGGATCTAAGTTGCCTTGAGGGGACATAGGTGAGGACCAGAGTCAGAGAGGCACACATATCAGGACGGGGAATATCTCCCTGCAATATCCAAAATCAGAAAGTGTGGAGTGAAAGGCTGTGTTTGGATTTGAAGAAGTGAGTAAATAAACGGCTTTGCTAGGACTACGTGTTCTAGAGGTTGGCCCGAAGTTCCAAGAAGGCTCTGCCTGGGAAAAGCGGAAGGTGCTCCGAAGGACGCGAGGTCAAGACCTTGCGGGAACCGACTGGAAAAAAACCCCGGGGCGGGGGGGAATGAGGGGTGTGTCTGGGGCCTGGAAGCCCGCCAGGGACTGGGAGACCGAGGAAACGGCAGCGGCCCCCGCCTTTGCTTGGTCTCCGGCTGCGCGCCAGGGCCCGCCTCTCGCCGACGCCTCACTTCCCTTAGGTTCGGGCGGCCGCCCGCGGACCGAGCTGGCGGCGGACGGTGCCAGTCCCCCACGTTTGGGGCTTTGGATATTTTTGGCAGCGCCGCCCGCCGCTGCCTCGGCTCGGCTTTGGGTTTCTGCTCGGCGTCCCAGGATCCCTTCCCTCCCGGACCCTCCCACCCGCCACCTTTACCTGCTCCAGGAGCGGGCAGAGGGTGTCGAGACCGGGACAGCGTCGTCGAGTGCGCAACGTGGCGCAGTGGGTCCGCAACCTTTTCCCGCCGCCGCCACTGCGCTCCCCGGAGCGGCGCTGGGCTGGCGAGCAGCCGCGATCGCGCGAGCGGCGGGGGGACCGGGTCAAGCGCCGGGTGGGAAGACACTGCCGCTCTCTGTCCGGCCGGAGAAGAGCAGCCTTGCAGCAGCCAGCCGCGAGAGGGCGGGTGGGCGGCCGAATGGGGAGGGGTCTCGGGGAGTAAGGAATGGCTGCCACGTCGGCCAGGTGGGTCGCCGCCCTCCGCCTCCCCGCCGCGACCTCTGGTTCGTCCCGGGGCTCCGCCTTAGCTCGTGGGCCCGCCCCGCGGGGCCGGACCCAGCGACCCGGCGACCCGGCGACCCGGGCCGGCGGGCGCCCCGTCCCCTCCCGCTCGTTCAGGAGACTGAGTCGGGCCTGTAGGTTCTGCCGCAGCGGACCCGTTCCCTCCTGCCCCCTAAAGAAGCTCTCCCGAAAGCCTGACTAGTTTTCCCCTCCCCTTGTCGGGGGGGGGGGGTTCACGTGCAGAAGCAAGCCCTTTTCAATGTGTCGAGTTCTCGAGGAAGGCGGGAGCCGTTTCGCGCTGGTGAACAAGTAAAANCCGGGGACTGATCTGCCTCGCCCAGGAAGAGCGCAATGAGGGTGCCAACTTGGGCCAGTGAAGCAACATCCTCCACAACTATACTGAAGAACAAAACGACAGCAACTTGTCTGTTCCCCTCCCCCCAATTCCCCAGTGCTGTTCCCATCCCCCCAATTCCCCAATAAAAATCTTTAAAAAAAAAAACAGATGCTCTGCTTCAGAACAGAAAAATTATTCATGCCAGTCTCCCAAGCTAAATCTTAAATTTAATGAAGAGCGGATGTATAAAAATGTTAACAAAAAAAAAAGGCACATGGGGGAAATTCACCCTACTAAATACCAGAGCATATTATGAAAGTAACATAGTAAAATTAAGTGGTACAGCTACGAAAATCCAATAAAAGATCAAAGAACTATTATGACAAGTCAAGAGTCAAGAAACAGTCCTAACTATATCCAAAATTTATATGTAATAAGATAGGTTTTCTAAAACAAGGAGGCAAGAGAATTTTTAATATTGTTAACATGATTTAACAGTAATTTGTAAAACAGTTAAGGTGGTATATCACACTTTATGCTAAAATAAATTCTGATTACAGAGTTAATTTTTTAAATATTAGAAAAAAACTGATTATCACATCTGTAGAACAGTGAAATTTCTTAATTTGGAAGTATGAAGCAATGACAAAGGAAAAGAATGATAGGTTCATTTAGGAACATTTTAAACTTCCAACAATTGAAAGTAACAAAAAGTAAAATCACAAACTAGAGAAAAATACTTTCTAGGAAAAAACCATAACCATATGCTTGGGTCTTGCTCAAAGGTTTAAGAAAAAGTTAGGCCCAACAGATGATCAAAGGATATGAGGAGACAATGCACATTTAGAAAAAGTGTCCACCATCAGTCTAATATGGTTTAGTGTAATTGGTATACCCAGAGCCAGTGCTGAGGCAAGTGCAACATGTGGGTTCTTTGATCCAGTAATTCCACTGATTAATAGTCATAAACATCTAGTTGGCTTAGCCAGTTTATTCCCTCATGGAAGTTAATGAAACACTTTTAATTTTTGAAGTTATGTAAGTCTGGGTAGCACAAATTGATTAATCTCAATCTAGATGTACTAGTAAAATAATCTCTGGAGGACAATGCTAAGATTCTTCAAACACCATGCCAACCTTCCAAATAATCATATTTTAAAGATTTTAGTAAACAGTGGATAAGAAGGAACTTAAAAGTAAATTCAATAAACCAAAATTCAGAGTAATGTTAAAATCTGTGTATGGTTTTATATAAGCAAGTTGAATTACTCATCGTAATGTAGAGGGGAAAATGTTCAGATAACAAACCAATATAACAGTCCTCCTTTATCCACAGGAGATACGTTCCGAGACCCCCCCCCCACTGAATGATTGAAACTGCAAATAGTATCAAACCCTATATATACTATGTTTTTTCCTATATATACATACCTATGATAAAGTTTAATTTATCAATTAGGCACAGTAAGAGATTAACAACAATAATATAGAATTATGATATACTATAATAGAAGTTATATGAATGTGGTGTCTCAAAATATCTTATTATATTGTATTCACCCTTCTTATGATGTGAGATGACAGAATACCTACATGATGAGATGAAGTGAGGTACTCAGAATGGCACACAATTTAAAACTTATGATTTCTGGAATTTTCCTTTTAATATTTTTGGACCACAGCTGACTACGGGTAACTGAAACCTGGGAAAGTGAAATTTCAGATAAGGGGAGACTACTGTACAGATATATAAATATAAATGGCAGCCACTTTTATTTCAATGAGGATGAGGGTGATAAGGATGATAAGGACATCTGGTTTACTCATTGCCTGGAATGGCAAATTAAAAAATATATACATATTTTTTAAAGTTTACTTTTTTCTGGCTTGGAGGAGGCCAAGGTGCAATTTTCTTTAGCCATCCAGAAATCTGGGTTCATTGATACCAGCAGCCTTCACCATGCCCAGAAGTTCAATCCCAATGAGTCAAAAATCATGTATCTGAGATGCACCATTGGGGAAAATGGTGCCACATCTGCCCTGGCCCCAAAGATGGGGCCCCTGGGCTTGTATCCAGGAATGTGTACAAATCTAATGCCATCACCAAAGCAACCAGTGATTGGAAGGGTCTGAGGGTTACAGTGAAACTGACCATTCAGAAAAGACAGGCCCAGATTGAGGTAGTACCTTTTGTCTCTGCCATCAAAGAACCTCTAAGCGACAGAAAGAAGCAAAAAAAAAAACCATTAAGCACAGCGGAAATATCACTTTTGATGAGATTGTCAACACTGCCTGATAGATGCGGCACCAATCTTTAGCTAGAGAATTCTCCGGAACCATTAAAGTGATCTTGGGGACTGCCTAGTCTGTGGGCTGCAATGTTGATGGCCACCACCCTCATGACATCATAGATGATATCAACAGTGATGCAGTGAAATGCCCAGCTAGTTAAGGACTACAAAGGAAAATATTGGGTTGTCAGAAAAGTCATGACATGTTTTCTACGTTTTTTGTTGCAAAAATGCGTCACGACTTTTCCAACAGCCCAATATTTCAATTAAAGATCATTTGACAACAAAAAAAGTTCAATCTCTTTTTAAATTTCTCATATAAGCTACTTCTAAAGGCATTTAACAATAACCTGTTAAGATTTGATACTTACCTTACAAATTGAAATTCTTCCCCAGACTTAACGTGAGTTTGCAGATAAAAAGCTGAAGGGAAGGAAGGCAAATTTTTTTCTAAAATTCATATTGACTATTAAGTGGTTACTGCTTGGCTTATCAAAAGATATGCAGAACCATAAATAATCATAAAGAAGGAAACAGATTTTAAAACAAGGAAAATCCTCAGATAATTCTTAAAAAAATGCACCTACACTGAAACTATTTAGCCTCTGCTATGTACAAGATACTATGTCTACTTTAATAAAGAAAAAACTATACCATATACCATAACTTAAACCCACTTTTCCGGGTCGGCCGAATGGCGTGTTGGTTAATGGCCGGCAACCCATGCCTCACCGGGGAAGAGAGCAATGATAATACCAACATGGGCCAGTGAAGCGACGTCCTCCACAACTAGACTGAAGAACAAAAAGGACAGCAACTTGTCTGCTCTCCTCCCCTAATTCCCCAATAAAATCTTAAAAAAAAAAAACACTTTTCCTATGAAGTTGTTTACTCTTCCCCTCAAAACTAAAGTCAAGGGCCAGCCGAGTGACGCGCTGGTTAAGAGCTGGCTTGGGACACCAGCTCTGAGCAGCAGGGCCCCGGTTCGGATCCCACATGGGGGCCAGTGACACTGCCCTCTACAGCTAAGATGNACAAAATGACAGCAACTTGTCTGTTCCCCTTCCCCCAATTCCCCAGCACTGTTCCCATCCCCCAATTCCCCAATAAAAATCTTAAAAAAAAAAAAGTATTCCCCTTAAGCTCAGGAACAAGACAAGGATGCCTATTTTCACCACTTTTATTCAACATAGTACTGGAAGTTCTAATCACAGCAATTAGAGAAGAAATAAAAGGCATGCAAATTGGAAACGAGGAAGTAAAATTGTCATTATTTGCAAATGACATGATACTATATAGAGAGAACCCCAAAGATGCCACCAAAAAACTATTAGAACTGATAAAAGAATTTAGTAAAGTAGCAGGATACAAAATTAATATTCAGAAATTAGTTGTATTTTTATATACTGATAACAAACTATCAGAAAGAGAAATTAAAAAAACAATCCCATTTACAACTGCATCAAAAAAAAAATAGAATACTTAGGAATAAATTTAACCAAAGAAGTAAAAGACCTGTACTCAGAAAATTATAGGACATTGAACAAAGAAATTAAAGATACAAATAAATGGAAGAATATCATACTCATGGATAGAAAGAATATAGTTAAAATGTCCATGCTACCCAAAGCAATCTATAAATTCAACACAATCCCTATCAAAGTTACCAACGGCATTTTTCACAGAACTAGAATAAATACTCCTAAAATGTATATGGAACCATAAAAGACCCCGAATAGCCACAGCAATCTGAAAAATAATAACAAAGCTGGAGGTATCACACTACCTGATATCAAATTATACTACTAGGCTATCGTAATCAAAATAGCATGGTATTGGCATAAAAACAGACACAGATCAATGGAACAGAACAGAGAGCCCAGAAATAAGCCCTTGCCTATGCGGTCATTTAATCTATGATAAAGGAAGCAAGAATTTACACTGGGGTAAAGAAAATCTATTTCATAAATGGTGCTGGGAAAACTGGACAAATACATGAAAAAAAAATGAAACTGAACCACCTTCTTATGTCATATACAAGAATAAACTCAAAATGGATTAAAGACTTAAATGTAAGACCCAAAACCATAAAACTCCTAGAAGAAAATATACAAAGTAAATTCTCAGACATTAACCTTAGTAATATTTTTACTGATGTATCTCCTTGGGCACTAACGTTCACTTAAAAA